TTGCTTGCAAAGTGTATATATATATATATATATATATATATATATATATATATATATTACAAACCTATAAAGATGTAGTGCGATGATGAATAGTAACTTAATAAACATTTTGATTTTTTTTTCAAACAAAATCGCACGAAACGACGCCGGTTTAGGGGAAAATTTCCAGCGCAAAGCACAAATGCAATTTAATTTCGAATTATATTTAATGCTCTATTTATGGTCGGACCAAAAATGGTGGGCCCTTTTAATTTCCTATTCTCTTTCATACTCTCACCACTCGCACACTCACGCGCTACATACACGTCATTACCATTTCATTTAATTTTTCATTTTCTTTTACAAATTCCCACAAAACGGCATCGTTTTGGCTAGAAAACTCATCCCTGCTCACTTTCGGCCGCCGCCCTAATTTCTCCTCTGCTTTTCTATCGTCTGTCATCTCACTGTTGACGTTGTGCCAGAGGTAGGTTGTAGGTTAATTCTTTCTTCTCCTCTCACTTTGTTCTCTCTTGTTTTCTTTCTTTGTTATTCATTGCAGCGTTGTAGTTTTCCCCTTTCTCTCTAAAAAACGAGATACATTGGATTTTGCTCTGTTCTCTATAGGTGTTCTTTCATACGCCTCTATGTTATCTTTCTTACGGTATTTTGTATGTTTATTTTAATTTTTAGGTTATTGTTTAGTGAATTTAGGTATTTTTTTGCAGGAGCGATGCTTTTGTTTTCGTTTTCTATTGAATCTGAATGCCTTTGTTTTCGGCGTTTTCTGAATCCAGTTTTACTGCGTTAGTTTTGACAGGTTCGTGCCCTTCTTCCAATCATTTTATGGGGTGATACTTCGAAATGCTAATGGACGGTTTACTACTCTTCTCTGATTGTATTTATGTATGTTTGCTTGTAATTTCAAATTTGTTTGCGTGTTTTGTGCATTTTTTTTGCTTGATCTTTGTTTTATTCTTAATCCAAATTTTTTGGATTTGTTTTTTATTTTCTCCGATCCAGATTATGTACCTTTGTTTTTCGATTTTATCTGAATTCTGCTTTGGTGCCATTGTTTTTGTCAGGTTTTGGCTGTCTCTTTTATTACCATTTGGACGTGTCAGGTATATTTCTCTCCCCTTTTTGTATTATTCTTGATGCATTTGTGCATATAATTATGTGTATTTATCATGCAACTAAATATGATATTGTATCTTGTTAGACTTATTTTCGCAAGTTAAATTTTGTGCTTGTTTAGTTGTTATGTTTATTTGTATTTTCAGTTTGGTTTTTTTCATTTACTGATATGGGCCTTTGTTTCCAATATTTATTTCATCTTTAACAGATATGCTTGAAAATGCTAATGGAATGCCACTCAGATAAGCTCCTTGATTTCAGCAATGTGTGTTCTTGGGTAAATTTCTTTACCACCTCCTTGACAAGTAGTGATATATGTGCATTTTTAATCTCAGTGCGTACATGTTTGGTTTGTTTATTGGTTATTGTTTATTGATAATGATCTTTTTGCTCATCAGCAAAGTATATCATATATACTTTTTCTATGATATACTTTTCTATTTGTATCAGATACATGTGTCATTCTTTGTGGTTTGTTGTTGCCAGAAAATTCTAATTACTAAAATATCTTTTATTGCTTTTGGTTATATTAGTTCGTAGATGTTTTTGATGTGTTGATTTATAACTTGATTTATTTGGTGCTTATACCCATACTAGACACCTTTGTTTTTTATTTCCAATATTATTTTTAGATTAACAACTAACATAATCAAATACACGAAATGAAGCAGGTGATAACACTGGAAGGTGTAGCATCGTTAAGAAGGTAAACCGAACACTACTTCAGTAAATAGTAAATACGAAGGTTAAATTATTATTAGGAATCAAACGAGAACTAAAGATACCCGTAGTTCAAGTTAATTGGAAGCTGCTGAATAGAACATGACTCTTACGTCTTACTTGATGTTCAATTTTTACGTTCATGATATTTTTTTGAAGTTATATATTTGTGGAATTTTTACTTGATGTTCTCTTTTTCTTTCGTTACTATTTCTGTTTTTGCTTTATTGCATTTACCACCCCTGCATTTGTTGTATTTACTTCAACTGTGACAAAGCTCCTCATATTTTAATTGTTAGCAAAAACTCCCCTATTGTGCATTTTTTTAGCATACCCCTAAAAACACACAATTTAGGAGGTTGTGTGCTAAAAAATGCATCCTAGGGTTTTTTTTTGTTAATATTTACAACAATCTCAAATGCTCAATGAGTATTTCAGCAAATTCGATATAATGCAGAGTACTAAATACAATCTATTTCTATTTTTCAGTTAGATGTCCATTTCTCTTCTGAAAATTTAACTAAAGTCTTTTGTTTTTATATAAGCAAATATATTACTATAGTTTTGTTTGGATGAATCATTTCACTATGAATTTATTAGAATTACGTCTCATTCTGAGCCTTTGTTTGATTCATTATAGTGAATTTTGTATCTAATCTCATTCTGAGCTCTCGATTGAAACTTTTCGATTCAAACACATCTTAAGAAATGTTATGCTTACGAAGTTTTGATTAAATAACCATCTGCAGTTATAGTAGTTGTCCTAAATATAAAATAATCCTAATCTTGTGCCTTATGATGAATTAATGATACAGGATGAAAACGAGTGGCCTGTAGTAGAACCACTGCATCTTAGTTGAGGAAGGTACACAGACAATGTAAGATATATTAGTCTCTTCTTTGGTACCAAACTAACTGATGTAGTTATTAAAGGTAAAATTTAAAAAAAATGATAGTTGTATGTATTGATATAATATAATTATCTTTGTCACAAGATTTTGTGGTATTTGACTTATTAAACTTTTACCTGATTTTTTTTCCAGGGGATAATGACACCAATAATGGGCAGGGTGAATCCTGGTGAAAGAATTTCCACAAGGGAGAATTACAGTAAACTAGAGTCTAGACCTTATTCAATTATAACACTTGTTAACTAACCATTATGGAATGTTCATCCTGTCTATAGCAGGTAATCATGCAAATATCTGTTTCAATACTTGATTTTTTATTTTATTAATGCATTGAATTAGATTTTTTTTTTGGACATTCTTTGAAAAGCTTTTTCGATTTTCTCTAAATCCAGTTTTGATTTTGAATCAGAAGAGAGATTTCAAGGTTCGATTTCTCTTATAACGTTTTCGAAGTGTGCAGGTGACTACAAATCGTCTTCCGCAAGATGACTTATGGGTATATTTCTTTATTTCTCTCCTTTTTGTTTTTTTCATTGTTACTGTATTTGTGTTTTATGTATGTGGATATATTATGCAATGATATCTGCTGGTTATGTATCTTGATGGTCTTATTTCCGCAAGTTAAATTGCATGTTTGTTATGTTTATTTGTACTCTCAATTTTATTTTTTCACACATTGATATGGGCCATTGTTTCCTTCAGCTCCATTTTTTTTCAACTTTTTATTTCCTCTTGAGCAGATATCCTTGAAAATGCTAATGAGGATGCCATTCAAAAAAGTACCTTGATTTCGGCAGTATGTTTGGGTATATTTCTTTACAAACTCCTTGAAGTGCCCCGAAACATGTGTTTTTGTAATTACTATGCTTATAGGATTGGTTTGTTTTATTGATAATTATGTTTTTGTTTTCAGGAGTTGGTTCCATGCCGCACTTGCTACTTGTCATTTAACTCTGCTTTTATTTTGTTGTTTTTGTCTGTTTCATGTATACTAGAGTATTGTTCTCGTTTGTAAAACAATCGAATTAATTCAGCTATAGATCAGCTATACGGGGCATTATATACCGCGCGTGGCGCGGTGTGGCCTCACTAGTATATATATATATATATATATAGACATACGCGTATGTACTGATACGAAACAGAGAGAGACATAAAAACTTTTCCCCAATTTCTTCAAAACCCACAATCCCTTTCTTTCCAAAACCCCTTTCTTTCCAAAACCCAAAACAGACAAAACCTCCAAACAAGTTCTCTCTTTTTCTTTTTCGAATAATCTTAACACTCAAAACCCTTAAATTCTACCAACACTTGCAAAGAGACACTACGGAGTCAGAAGACATTAATATTTCTATAGAAAGAGAACAGAAAAAAACTATTTACTAATGTATTATTATAGCTCGGTGATCGATTTTTGAGTTTTAAAAAAATTCGTGCAGTTAAAATTCAACATATACATGTCGATTTTTTTGGCAAAAAAAAAAAACAACGTTGAGATGTTGATTTTTTAATCGAAAACTAAATGTTGATTTTTTGGCGCAAAAATCAACATCTAGATGTCGATTACATAATCAACATCTTGTTGTCAAATTTTTTTGACTTCAATATCTAGTTGCCAATTTTATGTCAAAAATCAACATGTACATGTCGATTTTTCTTCCAGCCCTAACAATTGTAGAATGGTTCGGTGACAATGATATAATGGTCGTGCTGCTCAATGGGTGCGGTGCGCAGTGTGTTTAGGCGACGGCGACAATTCTTCCTTCATCAATCTCTCTTGTTTTTTTTTTCTATTAATTTTTTTTTTCCAGAAATTCAAATCTTGTATAATAATAGAGGCTAGGTACTTACCTTTCTAACGAAAGTTGACCATCTCTCTTACTTTTCGTTGTCACATTTTTTTTTCAATTTTATTTTTTATTTGTGTATTTCTTTTTTGTGATTTTGTGGTATTATATTAAGAAAATTAGGGAAAATATCCTGAAATGAGAATATTTTTTAATAAAGTGCTATATTAGGGAATTTTAGGTTTTACACTTAGTAAGTAATTGCACATTTTGATACTTAATAAAGTCTTCCCTTATTTTGGTAACCCGAATAGCTGCAGCAAAAGTAATATAAATAATCGGAATATATATATATATATATATATATATATATATATATATATATATATATATATATATATATATATATTTTTTTTTTTTTTTTGAATAAATATAATTGTTAGATGGTACAACACTATCATATAATTTTCTAAGCATTCATTAAGATAGTAATTAGCAATATTAAGAAAATCGATAAGTACTAAATGGTAGTGACGTCACCGTTGCAAATTGATAGTTATAAAGGGGGGAATAATACATATATTTCGAAATATCTTGCAATTGAATTCATTTCCCTCTATTCGAATTTCAAATACAGACTCCCCAACTCTCTCTCTTTCTCTCTCTAGAATAATTTTCACGTTGATTTTTTCAGTCTCTCGTATGCACAAGTAAATGGCACGGCCGTGGTTTTCCGTTGATAAGAAAGAAGACGAAGAAGAATCGGCAGTAGTAGGGTTTCTGCGGAGAGTGGCTGCAGTGATGGGAGTTTTCTTTAGCTGTTTCCGTATCAAAGATCTCAGTTCTACTCCGGTATGATGATAATTCAATACAATTTTTTGAATCATGTCCGATGAATTTATCACTGTTCATTTTGTTTTCTCTCTATTTTTGTTCTTTGTGTGTGTGAATTTGATCTGATCGAGGAATTGATTTTTTTTCGACAGGAGCCTTTGATCGCTCCCAATAATCATACACTGTCATCGGTATTCCTTCCGGATGGTAATATTTTTTGTTATATTAGGGTTTTTTTTTTACTTCTTATTTGTAGGTGGTAATTAATTACGATTAACTGGATTGGAAGTGAATTTCTTCTAGTGTTATTGAAAATGCGTTAGTTTTCTTTTCTGGATTATTGAATTGAACGCGCGGTATTATCTAAGAATTGGCTGTTTGATGAATCAGAAGATAATTCACATGGAAATGGAGAACAAGTTTGGAATTCGCTGCCAGAAGAAGTTCATGCCAGGGAGCTCAAGGATGAGGTTCGTATTTTGTTGGATTCTTAAAGAATATAATGTCTTTGGTGTTGTAGTTTTGGTTTCATCTTCGAGTATTTCGATATTCTTTTTGAAGGATGGCAAAATTGATAATTTGCTTTTCCTTATCTACGCAAAAATTGATTTAATGACAATCCTTCGATTTTTGGAAGTAGTTTTGTGTAATAGTAGTTATGGAAGTAGTTATGCCGACATGATCTCAAGTTAATGATTCCATGTTTAATTGGTCAGCTTAGAGGAGAATTATGCCAGGTTTGTCTTTGTTGCTTACGGGAATGGAATGCTCCTGTCGTTCGAATCTAGAATTTGTTGCTTGCATCTTTTTTGAGACCTGAGTTTATGTTGATCGTATCCATATTATTGTTCCTTAAGTGTTGTGGGACTGTGAGTACTGGTTCGGGTGCATGGATGTCATTTAGCTAAGAATATTCTTTTTGAAATCGTATTTGTTTATTCGTACTTCTAAACGAGTAAAGGTGAGATGTAGTGATATTTTTTTTGTAATTATGTGCTCCCTTTTATAGGATAGCCTTAATCTTAACTTTGGTACTGGATCTTGTTTTCCTTGATATAAATTTACCTAATGAATATGCTCTTAGATTCATTATCCTCTAGGTGTACATCTTTATTCAGCATAAAAATTCTAGATCTAGGTCTAGCTTGAGATTGATGGTTCTACACGTTTGGATATTTTTAGTTGATGGCCCCATATCCCAGTAGTAAAGTATGTTCAATTTACTTTTGCACCTTACCTTATATATTTTAACAAATAGATGTGATAATCTTATTCTGCAGGCCAAGTTCCTCAAAGCATGTGGAACTTTACTCGAAACTCCTGTTGAAATTAGAAATGCCTTGCGGGAATGTGTTGATACATCGGCTCAGAAAGAAGTATCGCCGAATTTCAGTCCCAGTGCATCCATTGAGAAATTGAAACTGGAGAAGCAATCCGATGAATCTCCTAAACCTGTCAAAATTTGTGAAGAATGGGTAACTGGATCGGGTTCATTAGTGGACAATTCCAGCAGGTATTTTCCCAAAAGTTGTTTACTGCTTTAAACCCATCGAGTAGCTATGATTCTCGAAATAATGTTGAAATGAACTACACAACTTTGCAACTCTATGCATCTCGTCTCTCTGTATTTTACTAGGTGGAAATATGGGGTGATTTGCATGTTTGTAGTACTACAATAGGCATCAAATATGATTGAATGAAAATCATTATTTGGATATTTCATATTTCGTTGATTGGAATTTTTATGCAAATGCCTGGTTTCTGTTACGTTTGGAAGTGCTTTGGACAACTTCGCCTGTTTGCTCTTCTACGTCGCATAAATAGTTTTCTTATATTTGACATTGTTAGAGACTCTAAAACTTAACCCCTTACTCTGTAATTTCATCTGTTAGCTCAATGACTGATGGGAATTATACCAGAAGAGACTCTATGAACTCCATTCAGAGCAATGATGTTGAGAATGTTGTTACCCCAACAGACGTGCCTGATAATGGAACTTACTCACCTGAAGTTTTTGCAACAAGTGTAAAATGCAAAAACAAGTCTGTTCGGTTTGAGTGCCAGTCCGATAGTTCCTCATTTTCGTCTGAAAGTTCTGGTACGTACTCTGGATCAGCTGGTAATTCTAGTGTATCAAAACCATCACCATATCCAACACCACTAAAATTAACCGACGAGATGCAAACCCCTGGCACTGCATTCCCTACATTCATGAACAATTTGGCCGGTGGAAAGCCTAACAGGGTCCGCTCACAATATGTGTACTCTGTCTTAAACCCAATCGACTATCCCTCTCAGTTGAAAGAATTGGAGGAGGATCACCTGAGAGAATCTCCGAAGCCAAATGAAGAAGCAACCTCGTTATTGAGCCCAACACTGGTCAGAGTGACAGAAGAAAATTCCTCTGGAAAAGATTGTAAGAATGAAGCGAGCTTGTCTTCTTGGTTGAAACCAACACGTTTAACCAACGAAGATGGTAATATGGAACAGATTGGTGCTGAAAATGTTCATTGTGGCACAAGTCCAGGAGATAGGCCTATTCTGGGGATGGTTGCAGTTCACTGGAATGATGATGGAACCTCTCACGTTTCTCCTAAATGGTGGGATGGAAATGGGATCCCGAATACAACTAACAAGTACAAAGAGGCACGTCAAGCATCACTCTTTCTTACTGCTTTTATTTCTTTTTTTTTTTTTTAACATTTCCTCTTTGTTTAAATACTGAAATTGAGAACTGTTCACAGGATCAGAAAGTTAGTTGGCATGCAACACCATTTGAGGAGAGGCTCGAAAAAGCATTGTCTGATGATACCATTATATACCAGAGGTATGCTAGGCTTGAACACCATGTGGCATAATTTTTTTAACGTAGAGCTTTTTGGTTTAGCGAATGTGTTGATTTCTGATTACCTCTGTTCCTTGCCATTTACATAAAAGCAGCTTGCTGTAATAACTAGTAAATTTGCTCGATTTTCAGTTTAGTTGGAAGAACCTCCGTTTTAATTTAGCACTTACTAAGGTTTGCAGGTTCGAGTTCATTGATTCTAGAAAACGAATCCATTGTCTGAGTTTCCACATGTTACTCGTTTAGACAAGACTAGGATGTTATATGTTGGCATATTTGAACATAATTCAGAAATCTGTTTACATTAACGATGAGGGATTTAAAGCGTTTGATTTTGCATAATTTCGAGTGGTTTGATTATGCAGGAAGCCTATGAGTGGGAGTGGGACACCGCCAAAGATTGAGTTCAACGAATCTGAAGAAGAATCTGATACTGCTTCATCAAAAGTGCAATCTTCTTCAACACATCTAAAATCTGTTGCTTCATTTTGATATCGGTCCATTTACTACTACTGTGTACGGTCGACATACTTTTTCCATTATTATCAAGTGTCGAAATTTGGAACAGTTCTGAGCAGAATTTTGGAGTGTACCGATATAGCGATGAATAGTATATAGTAAACAAGTGCAAGTTCTCAGCCTTAAACCTATCGATCGATGCGGCCTGCTTCTATAAAGTTAGATGATACCAATATGAATGATATATCTATATTCGATTTTGGCAGCATGCATCCAAAACGGTTACGACTTTAATAGTAAAATACGAAATGTATCGTTTAATAATGAAAATGCTGGTTTTGGGGGTCTATGTATGTAGGAATAATGACAAAGGTTCCATAAGATAGTATAATAAACTCAAATTTTCAAACACTTTTGCTGATTAGGTGATGGAGAAGTTGATTCTTATATTTAAGAATTCAATAGTTTAATAATTATATTGTTTTCAGGTTAACATAATTTGAGGGGGGGGGGGGGGGGGGTTAAAAAGTAATTTTGATAATAAAAGGGGTTATTTCGTGAAATGGGAATACCTGAGGGGTTGTATTCGTAATTTACCTCTATTATTATATGAACATTAAAAGACAAATTCCCAAATGAATTGTTTCCGTGCTGGAGGAAAACATTCCTCACACACAATAAAGCCGGCTCATTTTAGCAAGTGGCCTTACCACCGTCATCACCTTCCTCGTTTTGAGTTCTGACTCTAACATTTTGAATTAGGTCCCAGCTCACACACACACACTCTCTCTCTCCTCTCTCTCTCTCTCTCTCTCTCTCTCTCTCTCTCTCTACAATTGAATTGAATTGAATTGAATTGAAGAAGGTGAGCTGATCCTCAATATCCTCGCACTGCATGAGGTACCGATTCATATTGCATCTATAACCCCTGCTTCTTCTTCTATCAAATCCCTCAATTCTCCTCTTGGTCGTCTTTCCTTTTCGTTTAATTCTACTCCCCTTTTATGGTTTCTGTGTTTTAATTTCTTCAACCCCTGTCAATTTTTCTAATTATAATAATAAGAACACAAAAAAGGGGGAAAAAGAAAGAGAATATGTGGGGTCGGTCTTCAAGAAATGGAAGTTTGAGGCCTGAAAATATGGGCCAAAATGCATTAGCAATTACAGGGAACCTCTGTTTCACTGCGTTTGTAATTGGTGTGGTAATATTCACCATAATCGCCGCCAATTACCCCGCCGGAGACCCCTTGTTCCACCCTTCCTCAAAGATGACTAATTTCCTCACTTCCAATTCCAATCCCACCTTCCAATCTGACTCTGGTTCTGTTAAGACCGGCGAGGACTTTGCCGCCGTTGGCTCCAATGAGAGAGGAGCATTCTCGGCGTTCATCAACATCTCCGATGTCGATTCTGTTGGGACTGGCGTCGAAGATTCCAACCGTGATTGTGTCGTCAGTGACCCGATCGATTGCCGTGATCCCGATGTTTTCCACTTGTTAATGAGGGCTACGATTGAAAAGTTCAAGGACATTCATTTCTACCGATTCGGGAAGCCCGTTAGAGGATTAAATGACAGTTCTTGCCACATGGCGTGGCGGTATAGGCCAAAGGATGGGAAGGTGGCTGCATTTAACAAGGATTATCGGAGTTTTAAGGTTGAGAGGTCTGAGAATTGCACGATGAGCGTGGTTGGTATCGGAGAGTATCATTCCGGTGGGAATGCGAGGAAGAAGAAAGGAAATGGGAACAAGGAAAAGGGGAAAGACGAAGATGTATTTGAGAAGGTGGCTGTGAAGGATGTTGGGGAAACAATGAACGATGCACTTCCCGAGGTTGAATCGGAGGGTTCGTTTAGCGATGGCAAGTATTTGGTTTATTCTGGTGGTGGCGATCGGTGCAAGAGCATGCATCAATATCTGTGGAGTTTCACTTGTATGCTAGGGGAGGCGCTGTATTTGAACCGAACTCTAGTTATGGATCTCAGCTTTTGTTTGTCGAAGATGTACTCGTCTTCGGGTCTTGATGAGGAAGGTAAAGATTTCAGGTTTTACTTCGACTTTGAGCATTTGAAGGACTCGGCGTCCGTGCTGGATCAAGATCAGTTTTGGAAAAGTTGGAGCAAATGGCAACAAAAAAACGGATTGAGTCTCCATCTTGTGGAGGAATTGAGAGTGACGCCTATGAAGCTAGCTGAGGTTAAGGATAGTTTAATCATGAGGAAATTCGGATCCGTTGAGCCGGATAATTACGGGTACAGAGTTTGTGAAGGTGAGACGGAATCCGTTATTCAACGGCCGTGGCATATGATTTGGAAGTCGAGGCGGCTGTTGGATGTGGCTTCTGCTATTGCATCAAGAATGAATTGGGATTTTGATGCCGTGCACGTCGAGAGAGGGGAGAAGGCAAAGGACAAGAATCTTTGGCCGAATCTCGATAGAGATACTTCGCCAGAGGCTCTTATGGCAACTTTGGAAGGCAAAATTGAACATGGGAGGAATCTTTACGTTGCTACGAATGAGAGAGATTTATCATTGTTCGATCCTTTGAAGGAGAAGTACTCGACGCACTTTCTTGAAGAGTATAAAGATCTGTGGGATGTTAAGAGCGATTGGTACGATGAAATGAAGAGGCTGAACAATGGAAACACTGTCGAGTTTGATGGTTATATGAGGGTATCTGTTGATTCTGAAGTGTTCACAAGGGGTAAAAAGCAGATCGAGACTTTTAACGATCTCACTAAGGACTGCAAGGATGGTATTAACACGTGCACATCATCGGGCAGCTAATTTAATCGGAGGTTTGGAACTTTCTAGAAGATGCTGGTTTGGGGGAGATCCCATGTTTAGTCCCGTGTGTTTCGTATCTGGTTTAAGGTTAAGTCGATAAATTGTAGGAATGTTGGGTAGTTTAAAGAGGTAGATTAGTTTGATCAACTGATGTTTGCTGCCACGTTCAGACAATTTCTACGTGTTTGTATTTAGTTTTTCACTATCTTATCTTTGGATTAGTTGAGCAGTAATTTCCTGTGTTATGCTCTAGTGTGTTGTTATCTTGGTATGTGCATTTCTGCGTGTTGGATGAGGAAAAAATTAAGAACAATCAAATTGTTTCATTCGGGTTAGACGTGAAATTAGATGCTACGCTTGATTATTTATACTGGGTGGATTTGAACTGTAGATCCACAATAATCACACACACTCGTGTGTACGTGTGCTCAGTGAACAATTATTTAACCAAATTTATGGTTGAAATTCACATGGCGTAAACAACTAAATGTAGCATCTAACTTTCCGAGATAGGGATATTAGGTAGATGCAAAAATAATAACACATGCATATCTACAAGTTATTAAATTATTTAATTATTCATGACTAATTTTATCAAGCAAAAACACTTTGATTTATGATACAAATTATTTTTATTTATGCATAATTTTTTTGTAACTGACCCCTTAAAATTATTGTATCCGAACAATGATACTTGAAAGCCTATATAAGCTCTCATTTTCACTTGGGGATACGGTGAAAAAACAAAGCAAAACAAAAGTCAAAATCTAAGTGACAGCAAAAAAAAAAAAAAAAAAAAAAGATAAGTTATACTCCTCTGAGGTAAGGTTAAATTACGAAAAAAAACTCATTTTGTTTGGATAATTACAACCACACATCAATTATGAATTTTTTTACCCATCCTTGCGATATCAAATTTAGTGGAATCTTCTAGATTATGTGAAATGTTCTCTAATTTGTACCCGTTTTACCTCATTTGAGCTCCACATTTTGAAACTAGATGATTATAAGATGTATCTCTTGACTTGTAAATATCAGATTGTGGTGTATAAGAAACTACATTTTTGCACAAAACGAATACAATTTAGAGAACATTCCACGGAAAATATTATGTTGAATTTGACACCATAAGAGTGAACGTGTAAAAAACAATCATAGCTGAGGAGTAGCTGTAATTACCCAAAGAAGAGGGGGTATTTTTTTTTTTATATAGTTTGACATTACCTCAGGGATGGGTGTGTAATTGAAAAAAAATAAAAAAGAGTGATCCAGTTTCTTGGATTTGAATTATCCCAAATAAAAAGAATCTAGTTGTAGAGTAAATGAGTAAGTTTGATCCATTGGGCGGTTGGCCAGGTCATGTATCTTCTAATTATAGTAAAACAAAATATATTTGTGTGGCCTAAATTGAAAATTTTACAACAACCTCAACCTCCATGTTAGAAAATGTAGGGGACAAAGAACATAAAAATAGACAAGATAAAAAAAACAATTAATCCCAAAACACTTGCAATATTGGATAACACAGCTAATCAATTCTCCTGCAGGCCTGGTAATAACACATCTATACAGTTTGGTGTTTGTTATTATCTGAATCTTTTAATTTGCATGGATATAGAGCTACATTGTTTTGTTGATGAATGTGTGTATTACGTATGCATGTGCAGGGAAATTAAAAAGATCGGAAAAGAATGGAATCGAAGATCATGGTGGAAAGGTTTTACGAGAAAGCTGCAAACGATGATTATTATGCGAATAGTAATACTAATAATAATAACCTTTGCGTGGACACGGGGAAAGTGGTGATCAAGAATAGTGTGTCACCGGTTACATCACCGGTATCTTCGTCTCTGAGAAAATCGGCAAGTATAAGAAGGTACAACTGTTTGTGCTCACCGACAACACACACAGGCTCGTTCAGGTGCAGGTACCACAGAAACAATGCTGCAGGTGGTCTCACACGCAACAGCATGTCCGTTGGATCGAACCTCTCTCAGCTTAACAAATCATCGTCTAATATTCACCTCATTCCTTCGCATACACAAACCTCCTCCTCATCACCCTCTTTTCTACCTGCAGCTTAATTTTTTTTTTCTTTTTTTATACTGCTTAATTCAATTCATCATCTAATTAATTTATGATCAAAGGGCACCCATTTTTTTTACAGTTTGTGCAGTATTTTTTCTTCTTTTGGTCGTCCGATGATGTAACATCGATCAGTCTCTCAAGTTGTTACGGTTCAATATAGAGAGATTTGTTATTTTGAAGAATAGGCTAGCACATTGTATATAATAACATAAAATTATGGCGGATATCCGATCCGATCCTCTAGCTAGTACACAATATATAATAATGACATGCATATGTAAACTTATGATGTTCGAATTCCGAGTCGTACAATTGATGGTATAAGCCAATATTCGACTACGTACGGAAATTAAATCTTCCATTTATGAATCCCCAATTAAGGGGTTGGTTCTATGGCATTCAGAAGAGTCTGATTGATGCGAAAGCCGATGACGTACCGCGTGGAGAATAACCAGTACAACAGCCAAATCAAGATCGATCGTGAACGAGGAAAAACCCACGTCAAGAGAAACGACTCGTAGTTAATTTGTTGTTTCAATTATTCTTGTCGGAGATTTGTTCTATGAAGGGATTTTTTCTTTAAAACAAATGTCACACTATCTTTCATCAACGACCCATCTAAACTTCATCCATTCACTAATCGCTGGTCATCAAGAATCTCCGTTTAGGAAATCTCTGAAAATATTGGTTCCTTTGATGAAATGAAATGCTAATACAAATTTCCCCATCATCTTGCCAAATTAATAAGTTTATATTAATTTAAATTATATTAACTTCAATTATAAATAAAAAATCAAAATATTTTCATTTTCTTATATATATATATATATATATATATATATATATATATATATATATTTAAATTTTATTTTTTTAAGAGCTCATAAAATAGTTTTATTGTAATACTAATATTTAAACTGAAATGATTTACGCGGCAGTAAAATTACGAATGTCGTTCACAATACATTTCCTTTCTCTCTCTAAAAACTCCCCAACTCACTCAAACCCCAAAACCACCAAAAACCCCCAAATTTCACAAAAATCCTAAATCCTTCTCACAATCGTTCCAAATCCGAAAATCTCCTCAATTTGAAAGGTAATTACTCATCTAAACTAATTATATATATTGAATTTGTTGTTAATTATATGAAAATCGAAGGAAAATCGCGATTTGGGGGTCAAATTTGAGTGAAAACTGCGCATCTTCCACGCCCAAAACAGGCGTGGAAGAT